ATTTGATTTCATTATAAAAATATAAATATAATTTTTTTATATATAATCTGCAAAATCATTTTTTTTTTATATAAGTCTAAATATTATTTTTTTAGCATAATTCATTTTCCAATTTTTGATTTAAGATGAAATATAATATAATTGTAAGATGAAATCTATTTTTTTTTTTTTTTAAATTATCACATATATCATTCACATTATATGTATATCACATATCACATTTTATCATTATTTTTAATAATCAAACATTTGAAAATAATTTATTTCTCAAATAAAATTTTAGATTTTATTTGCAAACATTTAATATTTATTTAAAATAATTATCTATTCTTTTTATTTTTCATTTTTATTTTAAATAAAATATATCCAATCCCATAGCAAAACAATAAATTTATTTAATTTTTGTTATTCGATTAGCATTATCGCTATTATCATTAAATCAATTTGATTAAAAATTATCCATCCATTCGATCCTGGGGATTAAAAACAAATATATTTTTTGCACTGAATCGGTCGATAAACCGAGTGAGAAACCAAGCACAAAGGATATGTATACTACGAGTACTTACGCTGATCTTGTATGTTTAAAGTCCTCCAAATGGCGCGGATGTCGATTTAGATAATTTGCTTAACGGTATGTTCTGTAATAGATAATCATGTGTCAGTTTTGGCTGTTACACGAATAAAACGAATGAAAGTTTTTTCGTTATTTGTTATTTAATTGGAATTTTTTTCTTTTTTCTTTTTACGCATTATTCATTCAATTTCAATTTCTTTTTCTCGTTCATTTCTTTATATTCGAAATAATTATTATTTTCGTTTTATTGTAAAAAGAAACTTGATATATTATTATGAATCAAATGACGTTGTTTTATCGTATAAATGAATAAAATAAGAAAATAATTGTAATTTTGTTGTTCACGAATAATGAATATATTAAATTTAACTATTCGTTACCTACATAATCTTTTATTGATTATTCATAACAATTTTCGCTCAGTCATGCGAGTCGTGACTTTTTTTCATTCTTATATGTATTTCCGTTCGATATTTATTTGAATATAATAAATAATAATGGATAACAAAATCAGATATAAATACGTATTATTCACAAAATAAATATTAAATATTAAAAAAAATATATATATTTTCTATCGAATATAGAAGCTATCTCTATGTATACAAAGATATTATCAAAAGTAATCCTATCAAATATAATATAATTCTTCATAAAAACGAATATTTATATATTGCTTGCTGCAAAGATTTATTTATTAGAATAGTATTCAATGAATTTTTAATTTGATTTACTATTTTTATATGTTTTTAGGATAATTTAAAGTTATTTCCTTTAAAATTATAATTTTTTTTATATTACTGATGCAGCACGTGTACAAATATAAAATATGAAAAATATTATTTACTTGAGATATTATTTTAAATGTGTATCAAGTATGTATTTAATTTGAATATTGATAAATCTGCAGATATTGATAACTAACTATTGATTGTAAAACATAAGTAAAAATAAAAAGAAAAATATACGTTAATTAAATATATTCAATACATATAATCAATGCAATATTCTCAATTATTTTGCATTTGAAATAATTATTATTATGATTATTAATGGCACATTAGATTTTTTTTATTAAAATTATATTTTTGCGAACTTTTTAAAATAACTTTTTTTGTAATATATTATTTACATAGAAAGAAAACAATACTTTATTAATACATTATTAAATATTTTAAAAATAATAAAAATTAATAAAAATATTTAATATATACATACCTTCGATATTAATATATACATACCTTTTAAATATAATAACTTTTGATTTTTTATTCTTGAGATGATCGATATAAATTGCATTTTTCAAATATTAATTATAAGTATTGATAAACATCAAATATTTTTATGTATAATAAAATTTTATATATATAATATATAATTTATATTATTATATCATATAATTATATATAATAATTATTATTATATATAATTATATATATATAATAATCAATATATAATTTTTGTATCAAAATTAATGTGTTGTAATACATTTGTTAGAAAACATTAACTTAATATATATATGTTTTCTTAATAATAAAATAATTTTTCTTAATAATAAAATTTCATTAAATTAAATTAAATTAAAGAAAATTTTATTTTTCGTAATTGATTAATTTTTTATCAGAAATCATATTACATTTAATAAATTATATACCGTATAAAATAACGTGACAAAAATCAAATGATTCACGATATATGACGTATTAATATTATTATGTCATGTAAAATAAGATTTTATGGACAAGGTCGTAAATTAAGCCGACTAACAACAACGAGTAACAACTAGTATATATGTAACTACTAATAACTTAAGATTTTAAGTTTAAATATTGTAAGATCATATATTGTTTTATTTTAATTTTGCACAATAAAAAAATTATGATTTTTATTTATTTCAAATAGAAATATTGCAAATATTGATTTCAATAAATAAATTGGAAATAAAAAAAAACATAAAATACTAAATATAAATTTTTATCTATATTTTGTTCTGATCCGTTTCATATTCTGATATGGTGATATATTTACAAAAATTTTTAATTCAATATCAGAAACGTGATTATTTTGATAGTAGAATGATAATAATTGGTTTATTAATTTTTTGTTACATTATATAAAAAAAAAATCTATATATAAAAATAAAACGAAAACGAACATAAAGATAATCAAAGAATAAAAATTTATAAACAGCAGTAAGAATAGAAACGTTTGAAGAAAAATAATGTATCGCGGAAAAAGAATGTCGTAGAATTCTTTGTATTTACGTAGATGATTAAATTAACTGAGTGCGATGAGTTTCACGGAAAGTTTTATGAAAAGAAAACGATTCTTTTGAATACTATTATATTTCAAATATATCGCGTCTTTTAAGATTATAGCTTTTTCGTGAATCAAATTATTAATATTCATATTATATGATATAATATGATAAAAGATAGAAAAGATAAAAATTTCAAAATGAATTTGGAAAATTTGTGTTGTTCCGAAAAAATTATTATATTTTTTCATCAATTTTCACATTATCAAAGCTTTTTTGAATCTATTATTATCCTTTAAATTACGAAATGAAAATTGTGATCATATTTCAGTTATATTATATATTTAATATATTATATATATTTAAAGCTAGATTTTAATAAAATCTTAGATCTTTATTTCTTCCTTTATCGAATTACAATTATTAAATATACAAATTCACATATAGTCAGTCAAAAAAATCTGTGTATATTATCTTATAGAAAAAAATTTATTTAAA